AAAGCAATAAAATTCTGATTTTAACCATCACCTTGTAATTTTATAATGAATTTTAAAGTTTATTGTATTTTTAATGAATGTTACAATATATATTCAATATTTTATTTATTATATAGTTTTTGAACTTTACTGTAATGAAGCTTTTACTTACTTAGATTTTTTAGAAGATGCCCTCTAAAGAAAAAAATACAAATGATGTTGCGTACAATGCAGAAAACATTTACACTGTAGGCCATAAATAGAATATAGACCAATAATAAACGCCGACTTTATGTGCCGCCAAGTTTTGTCCATCTGTTTTGCTGTTTTTTGTGTTTTGTCAATAGTGTTTGCACTTAATTTTGCCTAGTTGTTAAAATATCATAAAAATACAAATGATGTTGCATACAATGCAGAAAATATTTACTAAAACCTTACAGAAGTTTTGTCAGTCTGTTTTGCTGTTTATTGTGTTTTGTCAATAGTTATAGTGTTTGCACTTAATTTTGCCTAGTTGTTAAAAGCTTGTAAAAATACAAATGATGGTGCATACAATGCAGAAAATATTTACCAAACCTTACAGAAAAATGAATGTTATGTTACTTGTATTTTTCAAAAAAATGCAATGCTGGGTCATGTGCACTAAAAACTTTACAGAAAAATAGTTTAGATCTAGGCAATAAATAGAGAATATATACTCCGATTTTATGTGCACCGATTTTATGTGCTGTTGATTGAGTTTCATCAATAGTGTTTGTACTTAATTTTACATGGTTATTAAAATCTTGTACCAAGAACAGTGCTCATTAAAATACAAACGACATCGCATACAATATAGAAAATACTTACCAAACGTTACAGGTAAAATTAATGTTAACATTATTTGTTAATGAATGTGTCTAGAACCTAAACCTACACTAGGCTTATAATTGGGATGAATAATATGGGTAAAGCATCCCCCACCCCCAAAAGCTGACTAACATCTCTTAAACTGATGACACATCCCCCAAAATTTATCACCCAGGTAATTTTAAAGATTGCTTTCAACTTGGTGGAAATTATCTTTGGCCCTTGAGATCAACTTTTAAAATATTTTGGTCCTTCAAACAAATTAAGAACCAGATATGCACCAATGCTCCGCAGACTATACAGTAGGTCACAACCCATTAGTGGATCACCAAGAACAGTTCAGTAAATCAAATTTTTAATTAATGTATATGATTAATTGTAGGATGAATTAAGAGATATCTTATGAGAGTTCAAGGCATTAGTGGGCGAGATAAAAAATAAAGAAGAGTTGTGGCAGTTTCGCAAAACAATTACCCTACCTATTGTAGTCGGACGCTCAACTTTAACTTTATAAAGTACACACAAAAGCAGCTGGCGAGAGCATGCCAGTGGATGCGATCTACAACCTTTAAATTTACCTAATGACATTGCGAAAAAGGTGCTGTATTCTCCTAATGAGAAATAGAGTCTTCCAATAAATGACCTGATTTTCAAATAATTAGAGTAATGCATATATATTGCATTTTTTCTGAAAATCGTTTTTTTGGTGAAATTTTTGCTCGAAATGCGGCTTTAACCTAAATTTGAAACCCCAGTCCCGAAAAGATGCACTAGGGCTAGCTCTCCGTAGTAGGCATCTGTGGATAAGGGGTCAGTTGGTTGGTGTCTGAATTTCTTGGGTCATCAGTCTTAAAGTCTGCTGAACACTGATCAACACTGTGTACCATCTAATTACCTAAGTTACAAGTCTCAGATTGAGATGTAAGCCCTCTGTTTGCATTTACCCGTTGGACCAAAAGGGTATTTCTCTGGGCATAAAATGTGGAACATCTCAAAACAGCCTAAAAATACTTAAAAGCAATACCTGTTTTTTCTAATGCCATGTCATGGGGTTAACCTCATAGCTCCTTGGCCTCTACCAGGGCTAAGTTATTTTTAGACCCTGTTGGTCTACCGTATATCAGAAATCGACAAACCTTGCGAGTGTAGACCTACACTATTTCACTGATAGATTAATGAAGATGATTTTTTTTTCTGTCGAAGAGCTAAGCCCCCATCTGGCAAATCTTAATGGTATGCTAGTGGGTCACCACCTTCACATTAATGATTAATTGAAGTTCACAAATGTTATATTCTTATTTTTATGTGCTACTAGAGGCCATATACACGGTTGAATAGGATTACTATACCAAATTTTATGCAAAAAAATGATTGGTAGCATTCTACTAGATAGATTATGGTGGACAGCAGATTGAATTTACAATCAATTTTGTTTGTTTTTGTTTAGATGCATATGACAGTGCCAGATACCTTTGTGACCAGTACTATCTAGCTTCGCCTGAGCTTGAAATCACCACACAAAATGGTAAGTAAAAATTCTTGTAAATCTACAGTTAATTAGCATAATAATAGTGGTACATACCACTATTATTCTTTAGGTATTCAGTTATGCTAATTAACTGAATACCTAAAGAATACCACTATTATTCTTTAGGTATTCAGTTAATTAGCATAACTGAATACCTAAAGAATAATAGTGGTATGTACCAGTGAAAAACTATTACTATTGGAAAAGAAAAACCTCGAAGATAGTAAAAATATAATAATAGTAAATCCTTGCTGAGCCACAGGGCTCATATGCACTAAAACTTATCCCCAATTTCAAGTAGATGAAACAGATGAGAGTGTGGTACTCACTCTGGGTGGGATGCTAGTCCACCGCAGGTTACTCCCAGCAATTTGCTGATACCCATTAATACAGCTGGGTAGACTGAAGCAATGTAGATAAAGTGCCTCGCAAAATGCACAGTGAAGGATTGAAACCCCAACCTCGAGGTTGGGAAACCAAACCATTTCCTCTGTGCCAAACTGCTTCCACAATGTATAATAGTTTGTTTAAAATTGATTTGTAAATACTGTATGACTGCTCTAAAAGGAAACTATGTTTTCCTACCATATTTATTTTACAAATATTAAAATTTTGCTTTTCCTATAAATACAGTGCCCCCTCTAATTTGAGACCCCTCTTATTCAAGACCACTATTCCAAACAACCAAATAACAATCTTCAATCGTTTAACACAAAGATAACCCTCTAATGGAGACTAAACCTCGAGAGCACCCCATATTTTCATTTCTCAAAGGTGATTTGGAATTGGAGGGTGAACTGTAATGCCATTTTGCTTCACCTTTTGTCGTGTGTTTTATCCTGTCTTACAACCTGAATTTAGTGCAAGTATGTTTATTTATTTTGTGTTATAATGTTTTCTCCTCCTTTTACAGGGAGTGACCATACAAGTGATATAAATATGGTGTATGTACCCTCCCATCTCTACCACATACTGTTTGAGATTTTCAAAGTGAGTTGTACTCTTTTTTGCTACTACTACTGTATTCATAATTTATATTTGCTACACCAGTGTTCTGAGAAGAGAGAAATGAGATTAATTATTCTCACTGATATCAGAATGATTAATGAGCATAACCATTCTTGGAACCATTTTAAACATATGTTGTATGAGAAGTTGAATTGTTAATAGATTATTAACTTCATGTGGGCTTGTAATGTTGTATTGATAAGGGAAGTATTTTTCAACCAGGGTGACAAACGTAGATTGATAAAGTCAGTATGGGGGAATGTGTCTCTTGTGCTAAGATTGCAATGTCATTGGATTTGTCACTGCATGCATGTAGTGTAGTGTTTGTTTTCAAGTTTGTTGTTTTATGTTTGTAATGTCTGTTTCTTGTTTGAGAGGTTTTTGGCAATTCTGTGTGTTTCAGTTTTTGCTTGTTACTCTTGAATGTACTATAGTTTTTGTTGTGGTTGTGATTGCATGTTCACTGCTGTTTTCTTTGGTTAGTTTGATTGCTTTTGTTTGTACTCTCACTGTCACCTTACCTCTAGCTCTAATTTGCCTTGCCTATTTTTTTAACCATTCTTGCCTGAATTTTCACTATATACTATCAGGTTTTTCTATAATCACTCACAAGCCAAGGACTAGTTTTGTATGAACGCTGTGGTTCTATTTTTGGTTGTTTACTTATGTTTACATTTGAGCCGTGCTTATCAAATTTTTTATTGCTACTGAGATCCAGACATTGTTTCCTGCAGCATTTTTGTTTTTCAGTATTTTTGCCTTTTAATATGTACCAGTATGTATATTTCATTTTCAATTGAAAGAAAGAAAATGATACATTCATTGTGAAAAGTTGCACAAAAGAATGTTAAATAAACATGTTAAATTGTACAAAAGAGAATAAAAATAGATGACCATTGGTCAGTGAAAAAATAATTATTAATATTAAGACCCTGAAATGTCAATTTTCAACATTCTTTGTATTCTACAGCTGAAACCAACATTAAGGCTATGTTCACACACACGGCGTAGCTTACGCCAGGCGTAAGCTAATTCACGGATTAAAATTCCAAAGTGTTCACACAAACAGCGTTCGCTATATTAACACTGGCGTTAAACTAGTAGTAATATAGGCCTATGGGGGAATAGTTTTAAGTTTTAAATAATGTACGGGTTCTTAACTGTAGTAAAATTAACAGTGCATCAGTAAAACTTTTAAATCTGTGAATTGTTCGAAGTGATTATTTAATATGATTATTGTATTTTAAATGAACAATTTTAGGCCTACTTTGATTTTTCAGCTAGCATTGTTGGTGTTGCAGGTTTTATTAGACAGTCTAAATAGGTTAAAATATCTTACAAAACACAATCAACAAATCATATACATTATAACTAAGTAAAATGCAATAGAAAAAGAACCCCTTTACCATTTCATTTATAGAGAGCACAGGAAAGGGACCAAAGTAGCTAATATATTGCAATCGTGATTGGTCAAACTCTTGAAATGAAGTCAAATCATTCAAGCATCACTGGCGTTAGCTCAGTGGCGTTAGCTGATCTGGGGTCTGCAGGTAGCGTTAATAACGCCAAGGACGTGGCGTAGTGAGTGGCTTTAACAACGCCACTGCTTAGTTCACACACAAAGGCGTACGCTACGCCAGGCTTAAGCCAGCCTTACGCCGTGTGTGTGAACATAGCCTAAGCATTCAAAATCAGATAATAGATTCCATGGAATGTACTGCTGCTGTGTGTTTAGATCCTTTTCTAATTGCTTGATGTATATAGTCGGGGCCGTCCTTGCTTCCTTTGCCCATGGGCTGGTTCCCAAAGGAGAACCCTTGAAATTTACTTCTGTAGCAATTTCCAGCAAGTGCTAACCTTCGTGCCTCTAAGTTCTTGATATAGGGGGAATATCTCCATACAGTTCTTTATTTGTAAAATGTTGTTTATAGCTGATATTCAAGGCGTGTCTGAGTAATCTATCTTGTATAACAACCATCAAGTCCTCTCTCTCAAGAATCTGTTCGTGAATGGAGAAAAACTGAAAATTATATTCAAATCCTGAGAGTGCCATTTCCGGCTATCTAGAGGCGACGTATTTTTTATTTTTCTTACCTCGGCCCCACTCATAGTGTGGCTGAGGTGTCCATCTGTGAAGGGCCCTCTCTGGGCACCCTCTGTTTCAAATTTCTGGACCCACCACAGCAAGGACCACCCCCATCTGTTCGAAGGTCAGGGAAAATCCTGGGTCTGTGCCTGAGAAATACCATAATTATTCCTTTTAACATGGTATATTTTGAGGTACAGTTACAGTCAAAAATGTTTTTCAAATCCAACAGTGCTGATTGATTGCAGTTAATATGTTTTGTTTGTTTCTCTAAAGAATGCAATGCGTGCCGTAATGGAGCATCATGGTGTCGCTGCAGAAGAATTCCCAACTATCAAAGTCATGGTAACCAAAGGAAAGGAGGATGTCACAATTAAGGTAGATATGAACAGAGAAGGTGTGATATAGATATGAGATGAAGATATGAATGTAAATGAACACATGTGGTCCTTGTTGAATATTACAATTTAAATGAGCATGTGGTGATGCACCATCAACTGAAGCCCACGTTCATCCAGGTGGCTAATGCTAGGCGAGTCGAGTGGTAAGGCAGGGGCACCGCTAACTACAGCCTTAACATCGTTGCTGGTTTTAGCTGCTACTTGCCCATGGTCCAGTGTATACATCTGGCTTGTGTGCAGTTTAAAGAACCCATTGCATCTTTTCGGAAGAGTAAGGGGGCTACTCTGATGCTATGGTTCATTTGAGCCCCTGTTGTTGTAAAATGATGTGAACTAAGCACCTCTGTATGGCTAAAATGTCTCTCATTAAATCTCTTACCACTGCACTAACTCTCTGTGAGAAGCAATGAGTTTGAAATTTATTAAGATGAAGGCGAGAAGGTGACCAATTTTCTTTCATACCTTATACAGAATTTTACTTCACTTTAAGCTGATGAAGAATTAACAGTATGTCAAAAAAGTATTATTAACTTATGTTCACATTCCGTTAGGTCTCTGACCAAGGTGGTGGTATACCAAGAAGTGTAACAGATGTAATGTTTAACTACTTATACACGACAGCGCCCTCACCACCTAAGCCAGGAACTACTACTATTCCGCCACTTGTAAGTTTTTGTATTAATTTCGCCAATAAGTGGTTCAGGACAACCAATTGATGATGATGAGGACAATGATAAAAAATGAGAGGAATAGCATAGATAATGATAATGGGAATCAGGGAAGTGAAGATGATTGTGATGGGGACGGTGATTGATAATTATTATGACAACAACAATAATGACCATTATGAAGACAACAATAATGATGGTGATGAAAATGATGATATTAGAATTTATATTTTCAACCAATTGTTGTATTGATATTCATGTTTCTGTTTTTGTCAACTGAAGATTCTTTTCTTTTGTTGTTTATTTAAAAGAAATAATGCTTATTCGTATTCAAGAAGGACGATGATTATGATGATACAAAGAATAAAATGAATATCGGGATGATGAGAATGAGGATAATAACAAAAATAAAAAGATCAGACATTAATGATGATTTTAGATAAAATTAAACAATTTTTCTTGCACAGGCTGGTTATGGGTTCGGTCTTCCAATCAGTCGTCTATATGCTAAGTACTTCCAAGGGGATCTGCAGATATGTTCCATGGATGGGTATGGAACAGATGTCAATATCTATCTCAAGGTATTAATAAATTAATTATAAAACTTATGTCCTATTTCAATCAAAGCTTAGAACTACTATAATATTTTATAGTTAAAAAAACCCCTTGCATTTTATTATCTACTTTTCCTGTGTATAGTATAACCAAAGAGTATAGAATGACAAGAAGTTCTGATATTAACAGGCATGCATGGAAGCGAAATACGCAGTACTACCACAAGAATGGGGGGGGGGCGGGTGAATGGTGGCCTATTATAATTTTTTCCCTACACGCATACATGTATATTATCTCTTTTGAAAGACACCCTCTAGTTCGTGGTAGGACTTTTTTGAGAATGGATTCTGTTACAAAGAAATGCCGTTAGTCGGGCCTCTTGCCATTCTATTGTCTTTGGTATAACATATCAAAGTATTGTCTTGAATATATTCACTAAAATATTTCATGATTGATTTGTGAATTCACAATCTTGCCTTTATATAATTCTGAAAAATATGTAAAAAGTAAAGTAATAACAAAATAATATGAACATCCTCTCTATGTAACATCCATATTGTATAATACTCTCCAACAGTAAAATGCTGTCGCACTTATCTTCAGGGGTCCTTTGCAATTTGTATGGAAGTTGTTTTACTTGTTTAACAGATCTTTTATAACAATAATATTTATTTGGCAAAAAGCATAAAGGAAAAAAACATCATGCATTGCCCGGATAGGGAATGGGCGAAAGCCCGAACAACATTTGCTCCCTATCCTTCAAATAAAATGAAATACACAAAAACAATCAGAAACATAAAATGAAATAAAATGCTTAATTAAATTATTCTTAAAACCGGAAACTGTTTTAAGAATAATTTAATAAACTAATAAAATGAAATTAAACTGTATCATGTAATTTTTTTATGTGAATATAATCGTGAAATGAAACTGTACGCTGTAAATTATTTTTTTAATTGTAGAAGTTGTCAAGTGAAGCAAATGAACTCCTACCAGTGTTTAACAGCAGTACATCTCGTCACTACAAGATGCCAGCTGTTACTCATGACTGGAGCAGAGCCGGCAACAACGTTAGACCCTACCACTCGATCTACAGAAGCATGTCACGATGAACGGCATTTGTCCCACTAGTACTGTAGTATTAGGGGTGGGGGAGGGGCCTTAAAATCCTTATCATATTCTATCATCAACCATTCACACATACGCATTTACAATTTCCAGTTTCTTATTGGCTAGTGATTCGATCATCATACTCTTGGTATCCGGATCAGGATTTTCTCGTATGGACGCACGGCAGCTAACGGTTAGCAGGATCCGGATCCTGCTAACCGTTAGCTGCCGTGTGAGAACATAGGCACTGCTAATAAAGGTCTGTCCACAAACACAGTTTTATGTGACTAATATGTTATTTTGCCCATTTATGTGTGAAATGACACCATGGTAGTACCCCTTTAAATAAGTGGACTAAATATTTGTTACAGAAAACTTAAAAGTGGAGATAGAGCATTGCAAACAAAATTTAGTCATGGTAAAAATTTAATAACAGTTAATGGGAAAATTTTTTGGTTATTAAAAGATAATTTTTGCTCCAACATTCCTAATTATTGGTAAAGAACTTGCAATAGTAATACTGATCCTGCCAAGTACCATTTACTCATCATATAAACCTTAACTGGACAAACATTAGGCTAGTAACAGTACTGCGAGTTTTAAGTAATAAGAATTATAAAAAGAAAATATAATTTTGAATTTAATTCTTAAAAAATAGTTAAGTTTTGTAATTTAAAATGATTTTTTTTTGGTGCAGAGCTATTGAACAGTTTGTAAGGCTAAAGTGTTAGTTTTGACGTGTAATTCACCTATGATTCAGTGATGTAGGACATAATTGTAATCATAAAAAGTATTGTGTTTATTTATTTAAATATAAAATCATTATTATTTTAAAAATTATTATTTTCAATGATTTTGGCGATAATTCAATATTTGATCAAACTGCCATTGAGAGTAGGCTGTAATTTGATGCATTTAATATAATATAATCTAAAATTATTTTAAAAAACCCTGTAAAATAAAACAATAATTTTTGGTGCGATGTTCTCCTGTAAATCCTCTGATTTTTTTATGTTAATTGCAACACTTATTTACACCTTTTCTATTTTTTTAGACCCAGATGCCACCTGGCAACACTCACAATTTTATTCACTACACAAACTTGGGTCATGACCCTGGGGTTGATGACCATAAACCATAAAATCTCTCCCCTTGACACTCTTCATGGATTATATTGATTATATTTAGGGACCATGACCCATACCCTTGTCAGCTACCAGTCAGACCTCCCAAAGGTGTATACTACCAATTATTGACCTTCCAATGAAGCTTCACTTCACTACCAGCTAGGTGGCCTTCCAATGTTTTATATTATTAATATTGTCCTTTCATGGGTTGGCTTCTCAAAAAGGTATAACACTACTAATTCATGACCTTCCACGGTTGATGTTTATTACCAGGTTGGCCTCCATGGTTATAACCAACTTTGCCTTATGGATACCAGGAGTGTGACTTCCCTAGGATGTATACTACCAACTTGGCCTTATACTTGGTTGTCGCAGAGTGGTTCTGGGTTGAAATTCTAATGAGATACATTATTTTGTCTTACAATATTAAAATGATTATTATTTATTTATTGATTTTATGTATATAAAGCATTAGTTATTCTTCCAGAATCAAATTGCAATATTAATAGCATAGTTTTAGAATGTCTTTTATATTACACAGTATATCTGTATATATGTATTTTAAGTTTTAACAGTTACAATGCAATGTTTGATATTTAATCAATGAATGCATGTTATTACACATCCTCCTCATTGAGAGGGAAATGTGTGTGATGAGGTTTTTCTTATGGGAATAACTCAAATGGCTGTCAATTTTATTTTAATGGTCATTTTATTTATACAATGGATTTATTAGGAAACTGTAGTTGGTTGTTTTTAAACACATTCCTTTTGTGTTCATGCAAACGAAATTGATAGCATTCAGGAAAAAATTAGTGAGTTGCAGGACCACTCCTGGATGTTTTTTCTCAGTAGGGATGGGTGAGCAAGTGCCAATAAACAGGACCTATGGTCCAATGGGAAGGGTTGGGAATGTTCTATTACATCTATTGGGGGAAGGGGAATTTTGTCACCTATTGGAGAGTCACACTTGGTTAAAAAAAATTGTTCTGCTGCATGAGGGGAGGGGGGTTTAGGGAGGAGAGGAGATCATCCTGTTTGCCACCCCCTTGAGCCACCTGTGTGTTGACTATAAATGCTGCATACATACACTTGTGATAATCATGCTGTACTCTGCAATAATGTATTATTGTTAATAGCATTACCCTTGCAATAATGTATTATTGTTAATAGCATTACACTTGCAATAATGTATTATTGTTAATAGCATTACCCTTGCAGTTCATAAGGCGAGACATTCTTTATACCTTGTTTAGCGAACCCGCCGACTGCAAATATTGATGATTTCAAATAAAAATAAAATTTTATTTTTGGCCAATTAGCACACTTTATTTTTATTACGCCATCCACTGCCTTAAAATCTCCAAAGATATGTATATTTCTTCCTAATTATTATAAATTTGAAGTATTTAAACATCCTATTTTACATTCACCAATAAAATTTTGTTTTTATTTTCTCCTCCATCTGGATTATTTTGCCAAAACTATTTGTTAAATTAGAAAACCAAATTTTATTTTTATTTCTATTCCGCCCTCCTCCGATAATATTTTTTAAAAATAAGTACGCGAAACAAGGAATAAAAAATGTCTCACCTAAATTTAAGTCAAATCAATGCTGTTGTTAATACTCACTATTAACACAGCAATAACTTGGTACAAGTGACACATTAACTTTAGGTTTGACTGATATTTTCAAGGAAATATTTGCGAGGTTCTTGCCGAAGTGAAGATGTTTACCAGTGTTAAGTATTGACCACCATTTGTGTGATGTGCCAATAATTGGCAAATTCAAACTTTGATGTGGTGTATAGCATCTGCTGCATTTGCCAAAGTAACACTATTTTGCTGAAATTAGTGGTAGTTTTAGGAGATTTGAAAACCATCTGACACATTGTTGCATGTTGTCTTGCGATATTGCATTGGGTGCTGATGCAGTGTGTGTACAGGGCTATGTTAGCCTTGAGTCTAGGATTGCTCAAGGATCGCACAACCCTCCCCCCTCCAAAAAAAACTTGTACTCTCCCACCCTTCAACAATTTATGCTCAAGTAGTGCCTCCCTCAATCATTGATCCCTCACATAATCATTGATCCCCCACTTTGAACCCATTCCCCCTCTCCTATCTCAAGAATCCTAAAAACACCACTGGTGTTACAGTGGCTACTAAACAAAAAATTCTATATTTTAATTGCTGTACATTATATTAATGTATTTGTTTTTAATTAAAAAATTGAATAAGAATTTGTCTTTCTGGTAATTACCAGACACAAATACAGTATCTATATTCTTTACATATACTGTTGTATTGACTGGCAGATATTTTAAGGGTTTTGTGGCAAATCGGCAAAAAATAGCCTTTCAGTGTCTCTTTGGAATTTTGATAACTTATCTGATGCTTTTTAATGAGAAATTCAATGTTTTAATTGATTTTTTCAGAACAGTTTTCAGAACAGATAGAAAAATATGTTCATGAAAACAAGTAACATTTAATAGTGATAACAGCAATGTTAATTGACACTGTCAAGTTAAAATGTGAGGTAATAAACAGCAATGTTATAGTTTTACAGTAACAGTAGTCAGGTTAATTGGTTATTATTGTTTATGTCTAAATAACAGTAGTTATTTTGGAATAGTAGTTATTGTAGTATTATATGGATTTTGGGAAAAATGTGTTGTTGACTGGCATTTTAAGGGGTTTCACTCAGCATTGTTAAGGTACATTGGTGGTTAAAAGCAGCAGTATACAACAGGTATTCAGCATATGAAAGTGCATTGAGTGTCAACCAAACAGTTAGATTAGATTACTTCCGTCTGTCAGCAGTACTGTATTATTGTATATTACAAATTAAATTGAAAAAAATTCAGTTAAATATTTGTGATGTGTGTTTTTGTACAAGTTCGCTCCCTCTCTGGAAAGTTGCTGCTCAAGTTTAAAGCCAGACTCTTGACAGGAAAACATGTTTTTTATATGTTTTGTACAACTGATAATATTTCAATTTCAATTCATTTGATTTGCTGCAAGAGCCAATATCCGCACGAAACACAATACTCAGTAAAACAAAATAATGATAACTTTGCATCACAGGTTTAGGGACGTTACTCCACTAAGGTCCAAATGACCTGCATACCCCAATCCTAATCAAACTATGCATCAAGGGATAAGGGCGTTACTCCACTAAGGTCCTAATGACCCACATACCCCAACCCTAATCAAACTATGCATCCAGGGGTAGGGACGTTACTCCACTAAGGTCCTACTGACCTGCATACCCCAACCCTAATCAAACTATGCATCACAGGCAGGCTGATCACAGGTAGGGACATTACTGCACTAAGGTCTTAATGACCCGTATACACCAAAACCAACCCAAATGAAACTTATTATTTATTTACTTATTCATTTGGCATCACTGCCTGGGAGTCGCAAAAGCAGGAAATCCACTGAGCCAAAGGACGTGCAACTCTCTGAAAGACGTCCAAAAGGACTCAAAAAGGGTGTGTGACTAAAATTTGGAAACGGTTAATGAGATACAGATTTTTAAAAACTGGGAGAAAAAAGGGTAGTTTTATATATTCAAGAATTTGTATCTCATTTATTTCCCTAGTTTTTTTGTCAATCCCCCTATTTGTGTCTTAATTGTGTGTAATTTAACTGTTCCCTGGAAAAAACAGATGTACAACATATATAAAAAATTATTTATACCTCTGGAGCATGGCTTTTTCAAAACATCTCATAGGGTGGGCCTAGGCCCACCCAAAAATTTTAGTGGGTTGACTCCACAATTCTTTTCTAAAAAAATGTCTGAATAAATATTGATATTATTTCTTCAAAACTTAATAAAAAAATCATACAAATAAATAATTCAAAATTGTTTTAATCTTTAAATTTATATTATTAGATTTACAATATTGATTTTGGAACTGAATATTTGATTTAGTTCATCACACAACAATATAGGCCTACATACTGGAACACAAATCAAATGAAACAGAACTTAATGAAATTCATTATGTAAATAATAAGAGTGTGAAAGGAAGTCAAAATAAGTTGAATAACTTTAAGACATGGCCACCTAATGAAAATAAGAGACAGTTTATATATATATATACTTTTATTATAACGATTGCATATGTTCACATAATAGAGACATAAAATTTATTCTGAGACTAATATTTCATACACTGTATATACAGTACATACATTTTACACACCGTAGTTCCACATACAGTAAAATTAAGGGGCTTTTATTTGTGAGCATAACAATGACAATACGTATCCATTTTATATCTATAATAAAACCCGCCTCCCTCTAATATAAACGGCGCCTCTCGAATAAACGCCCTTCAAAACCCTTATCAACAATAAAAACCCCGTGGTGTTTATTCGAATTTATTTGATTTTTTATTTATTCCTTTTTACCCTGCTGGTTGACTTAGTCAGTGATAAAACCATTGTTATCCTCCAGGGCCCAGCATTAGGAGCAATAATGATTCTCCACAGGAAAAGGTTAATTGTTGGTGCCTGGTGGCGTGCTTTCCGGACTAGAAATACTTGAGGTATTGTTCCTCAATCGATTGGTGAGAAAGAAGTTCGTGGAATTTCCAGGTACCTGTTTGTTTAAAAAAGCGTCTCCTGTTACGCCGATATTGCTTATATGTGGGTGTGTTCGTGATAGGAGTGGTTGATATAATATAAGAAATATCGAATATCAAGTATAGTATACTATTTTCGTGTTTGCAACATGTTTTACGGAGGTACCCTAGGCCTAGGTCCTAAGGCACCATTGTGTGGAAGAGGAAGGAAATGGACGCTAGGATAATACTCCTCCTTGGTAGGTAGCCTATTTATTATTACAGACAGGTGCTATTAGATTACACGGCTAGGGCCTTGTGTAGGCCAAGACTAGGCCGCTAAAAACTTCATATTTTGTCAAATTATAACTTCATATTTCATAAAAGTGTGATATATCTAAGGCCCACAGTGACAAGGGAAGTAATATAATTGTAATAATATAGGCCTAGGCCCACATTAACAATTCGGTGTACAAATGTCAAAGGCTTGCCTAGGCCTAAGGCTAAGCTGGGCTAAGGTAGGCCTAGGTCGAGTAATTTCCACCGAGTTTAAAATCTAATTAGGAAATTGTAACACGAAACAACACATGCGAGAAACAGGCTATTTACAAATTGACATCAACTTCAGTCATTTAAACTCTATTAACGTCCAAACAACTTTATACTTACAACTCCCCTCCATTTACAGATTCCTCGTATTTGGCTCTTCCCTGACTCTCCCACTATTATATCGGGGACCATTTTCATTACAATATAAGATTAATAATAATGTATTGTAACATGTGTGATGAGATAAACTCTAAATCGTGAATTTCAGACACACATTTTATATATAGATAGGGTTTGCCGAATGCCAGATTGCCAAGGACCACATTGCCGAGTACCAGTTTGCCAAATCAAAAACAATGAATCCCAGTTGGCCAAAACCCAGTTTGCCGAAAGTCTGTTAAAAGCAGTGAAACATTAACAGCAGCATATAATTCTAGATGGAATACTCTCTTACTCTTACCATGGACCTACTAACAGTATTTAATACTATTAGGTCCATGTTCTTACCACGACTGCATCTGTATGAAGTGGTGGCCGTAATTCTTCCTATATATTACCAACCTGAAAGATTTTAAATGCTTGATTCGAAACGTGGGATGGAGGCCGCCAGGGTCAGGGCCCCGGTGGGGGTTCTGGGGTTAATCCCCTTGGTGCTCCAACGATCTGAGCATTATTAAACTGTTTTTAGGGAGTGTTTGTTGACAATACTGGGTACATAAACAAAGATATTTTTAATAAAGCCACCTACAATTCGAGTTTCAAAGTATCTTTAATTTGAGCACCCAAACTATGTACACAAACATTTCATTACTCAAACAAAAAATGAATAGGCTGCGGTGGTGAACCTTTCCTATCATTCGACACTATTTCTACCCCTCCAATTATACTCCTACACCCCTGATTCTTAATTAATTGTTTAAAGGGCTAACATTATTTTTTGAGTTGTGATCACAGGCCAAAGATTATATCCGGTAATTAAGCAACTCGTTATAATTGTTTTTGGTAATTTCAAATTCTACTTTTTGTATGTCCAGTATGGTAACACATTCTGTAACTTTAAGCAAAGAATACATAATTATATATTCTGTTCGCACCTTAGTTGGTTAAAACAATAGTTGGTTAAAAAGAATAAGAAAATGTATTCAGTGTATAATAAATGTTAGTTTGTTAATTCATATGAATCACAGGAGCTACACAGTTGGTTTGATAGCTTCCTTTGCGAATAATTACATATAATCGATTCTAGTTGCAGTTATTGACTGGAACAATCATAGCAGGATCACCGATGAGCAGGATAACAGCACGACCCCCCCCCCCCTTGCTGGAGTTTTCTGCTTTGTTGATGCAGAGAAATATGGTTATATATAGAATGACTAAGAAATAGGTATGATATCAAAATTCCAAAAGAGCAAACTGTTATAAAGACACAGTATCCTGTTTTCTTTCCACTACCGGTATTTCTTATGTAAACCCGGATGTAAACTTTTCAAAACGTTTCTACATTGTGTATTTAGGTTTCATCAGTACTATATTTCAAATGCTTGAAGAGTCAATTATTGAATTGATTAATAACGCTTTTGTTTCATCGGCACACCTTTTTAGTGTAACCTTACAAGGACTAGACAAATAGAGGAAACAAAAATAACAAAATAAACCAATGATATGTTCTCTGCCTTATAAAGTATAATGAACACAACCTGATGAAAAAAAAAAAATCATTGGGAAAACTAGGAGGAAAAATACATTAAAACAGCATCGTACCATACGCGACGCTGACCGTACGCAGGAGCAAGGTTGCCTAGGAACCTTCTCAGTACGTAAACAAGGTTGCCAGAACTCTCCCATATGTTTATACAATGTTCTCGTCTAGACTCCCTACATATATATATATATATATATATGTATATATTAGTATGTAAAAAGAATATTCACTCATAAAACCTAAATCTTTGTTCAAATCATTAACATTTGATTTAAGACAGAGGAACCGACGGATCTCATCACATCTTCTAGCCTTATTAGATTTAAAATTGGTGTCTAAGATTAACTAGTCTAAATCACTGATAGTATGGCTCGGTAAAGTGGTGAGCAACAGGGAAGCCCTTTTGATGGTCTTTAACTAATTTTGTGTGGTTGTTAAGTCTGAGTTTACATTTGTTTTCGCCTACATAACTGTCGTTATTACATTTAATAGTTCAATAGTAAATTGGTGCCTAAAATTAAAAGCCTTTATCACTCAGCTGATACTATGGCTTAGTATATTAAAGTGGTAAGCAACATTAATCCCTTCTGATGGTGTTTAACTAATTTTTATGGTTGTTAAGTCTGAGTTTACGTTTGGTTTCGCCTACATAATTGCCGGTATTACATTTAATTCAAAATAGTAGTGTGCTATGCTTTTGTACGGTGGTGATGGCAAAGTTCGGCAAACTGGCATTTGTTCAACTGGGATTTCATGTTTTCGGAGAACTGAATCTGGCAAACTGGGTTTGGCAAAGTGGCTTAAATTTGGCAAACCGGGTTTGGGCAAACTGGATTTTGACCAACTGCTCGGATACCAAAGATAGACCCTATTTTATATTATATAACATTTTGACATTTGACTGCTAGTTCTTCTCCATAGGTCAATGCAAATAGTTTTAATATTCACTTTGTATCTATTTTTAATGCTTTTAAACCCTCTCCCACGGATCCTCCAACGTGTTCCATTCTAATACCTGAACTTTGACATTGTTGATGTGATATCTAGCTTAAGTAGTCTCAACATTAATAAATCCCTGGCCCAAATGCCATACACCCGTATGTATACTTAAAATGGCATCAGATGTACCATGGAGGAATTTAAGTTAAAATTAATGAAAGGGAAATTACCATTTTCCTGGAAGGTATTATATCATGTAACTCAATCTTCAACTGGAAATAAAACCTCAATTTTAAATTACCGACCGACCGTTATCTCTGACACTGACATGTTACTTCAAATTTTCTTATCACTGATGTTCAACATAGAATTCCTTCCCACTCTTGTGTTACATGCAGCTAACTAACCTACATAATTGGGCATCACCACTGGACAAACCATGTCCACCTAGAATTGATCTTTTTGGATTACTCTAAAAGCATTTGATAAATTACCCCAGTGCCACATTCTGCTCCACAAACTTGCTACACAGTTTAACATAAGAGGACATATATGGAAGTGGATCCACTCTTTCCTATCTGATTGCATCCAGATGGTAGTATTCCAGTGGGTCTATTAGTAGCCTGTGCAATGTAACCTCTGGGATGCCTCAAGGTAGCGTAGGCCTACTGGGCCCTATATAATATTTGTGTTCATACGGTATGTTCACACACACGGCGTAAGGCTGGCGTAAGCCTGGCGTAGTGTACGCCTTTGTGTGTGAACTAGGCAGTGGCGTTACTTGCACCACTCACAACGCCACTCCGTGGCGTTATTTATGCTACCTGCAGACCCCAGATTAGCTAACGCCACAGAAATGGTAAGGGTTCTTTTTCTATTGCAGTTTTCTTTAGTTTACAATGTATATGATTTGTTGATTGGTTTTTTAAAGATATTTTAACCTTTTTAGACTATCTATTTAAACATGCAACACCAACAATTGTTCCACAATGCTAGCTGAAAAATCAGAATTAAAATTGTTCATTTAAAGTACAATATTCATATAAGTTCACTTCGAACAATTCACAGATTTAAAAGTTTTAATGATGCACTTTAAATATTTTACTACAGTTAAAATCCCGTACATTATTTAAAACTGAAAACTATTCCCCATAGGCCTATAATATTACTACTAGTTTAGCACCAGCGTTAATATAGCGAACGCCTGTTTGTGTGAACACTTTTAGAATTTTAATCCGTGGATTAGCTTACGCCGGCATAAGCTACGCCAGTCTTACGCTGTGTGTGTGAACATAGCCGTAGTGTTATTGATGAACATTTAGTCCAAAGTAATTTAAATACAGTTTTTGTTTGGTTTACCTCAAATCAGGGAGTTGTCATTATAACAACTCCCTGCTCAAATGAAATGGAATTAAATTCAAAGAAAATTAGTATTCTTCACATCCCTAGATCTAAAAAAGGAGTACTGTCTGATTTACTACCTGAATGGCTCTCCAATACAGTCTATCCTTAATCATTCCCACCTGGATATCAATATAAATCATACTGTGCCTTGACTTGGGATGACCATGTACAAAATATTACAGCAAGGGCAAATAGGATGATTTGGTTATATTGCAAAATATTGCCTGGGGTACCTCTTCAGCAGCTACTGTATATTTGCATTATACTGAGCTCTTGTTATTCCTATACTTGAATATGGCATATTCGTAGGGCTTCCCCAAACTATGAAGGTGACTAAGGATATGTTCACACACACAGCGTAAGACTGGTGTAGCTTATGCCGGTGTAAGCTAATCCACGGATTAAAATTCCAAAGTGTTCACACAAACGGCATTTGCTATATTAACGCTGGCGTTCAACTAGTAGTAATATAGGCCTATAGGGGAATAGTTTTCAGTTTTTAATAATGTACGGGTTCTTAACTGTAATAAAATATTTAAAACTTTTAAATCTGTGAATTTTTCGAAGTGAACTTATATGATGATTGTATTTTAAATGAACAATTTTACTTCTGATTTTTCAGCTAGCATTGTGTAACAACTGTTGGTGTTGCAGGTTTTAATACACAGTCTAAATAGGTAATACAGTATCTTACAAAACACAATCAACAAATCATACATTGTAAACTAAGTAAAATGCAATAGAAAAAGAACCCTTTACCTTTTCATTTATAGAGAGCACAGGAAAGAGATCAAAGTAACTAATCTATTGCAATCGTGATTGGTCAATCTCTTGAAATGAAGTCAAATCATTCAAGCATCAATGGCGTTAGCTAATCTGGGGTCTGCAGGTAGCATTAATAACGCCACGGAGGTGGCGTTGTGAGTGGCGTAAGTAACGCCACTGCATAGTTCACACACAAAGGCGTATACTACGCCAGCCTTACGCTAGCCTTACGCTGTGTGTGTGAACATACTGTAGCCTAATAGGATTGAGTCTATACAACAGTAGAGCCACAAGCCTGGAATTCATTAAAATTAATAATTGATTGAGTTTGACAGAAGAACCATACAAATTAATGGAAATCTGTAGAACTCATCACATTTTGATTCTTTTACAGACTGTGACATTGTTGAAATTGGAAACTTGACATGGATGACAGTTGCAACAGTATGGAGCTAGAATTAAAAAATCCAAGAAAAGTAATGATCATTACAGCCATACTTCTTACCTTAATAGTATCTGTCCATAAATAGACAATTGTCTTTAAAAGTTATTGGCTTTTGTGTAGTGTCTGGTATTTTGTTAATTCTGTTGATTATAAAAATTAAATTGGCCTATGTTATTTATAACATTGTATTGTTTATGTTAGACTGTTACTGGATGAGTGAGATTCTTAGACTTTTTGAGTTTGCTTTTCTTCACTCATTCAATTTATTGTAGTTGTATTCTGTCTGTTTTTTTTTTTGTTTTTTTTCTGTTTGTTTTTTATTTGTTTTTTGTTTTTTTTTTTTTTTTTTGTTTTTTTTTTTTTTTGTTTTTGTTTGTTTTTTTTTTTTTTTTCAGGGGGTGGGGATGTTTGGGCAAATTAAGAATAAGAACAAATCTGACAAATCACAACACAGCCACTGTGTGGCTCTACTACTGTGTTTATACACTTAAAATTTGGTTTGACTGATACACTGTATAGTAAGAGTAAATAAATATTCTGGGGTTGGAGAATGTGTCCAGTAAAATCTAAATGAAATATTTTGTTATACTGTAAACTGTCACTGATAAGTTTGATATGAGATGTGTAAAACAAAGTAACAAAATGTGAGTCAAGCCATGTTGTTTTGGTATTATATTATTATTATTTTATTAATTATATTATTAATATATTATTATTAAAATTGTTGTTGTTATAAGTAATATTATAAAGCTGACTGATAGATATTTTTATTTTTTGTATGCAGTCAGCACCGTACATCCCATCATGGCCTTTATTACCTCCTGAGGAGCCGTATGTCCGCTTTTGTTTTCTGGTATGGAATATAAAGGAGCAGACTTCAGTTGAATGTATTCAGCAGGAAAAGAAGCGAGTAGTTAAACTATGGGATGAGCTGAAGCTTGAAGACAAAGAGGTCTATTACAAGGAGTATCAGCAGGATTTTGTAAGCATTTTTTTTTAGATTAAGTATAATTATGGTATATATTTATTATATGATTATTATGGTGCTAACTAAGATAAGAATGAGTATGATGAATGATGATTATGATGATAATATTGATAAAGATGATAGTTGTGGGGATGATGATAAAGATAATGATTATTATTATGATGATTATGACAGTGATATTGACGAACATTATGATGACTATGATGAGGACGACAATGACGGTTGTGACCATGATGGTATAATACCACCCAACATTCTTTTCTGAATGATAACTCATTGAATCTAATAGCTATGTGAGGACCAAATTGGTGGAACATTCAACAAATATTTATGCACTGTTACACTCATACAGTAATTGAATTGTTCTGTTTTCTATGAATGAGAGCTGAATTAATTTGCTTCTTTGTTTTGCCAGCTAGTTACGATTAAATTAATTTAATTTCAGGAAACATATTTAAGGCTTCAGATGGTAATATGTGGATGCCAAGTTTGCAAGGAAGAGGTTTCTAGGTATAAAGGTGAGTGTAATAGGTAAATTGGTTTCAGTGCAGCCCAAGCCTGCCCAATCAAAAGTTAGAAAAATAATTTTACTTGTAAATATGCAAATGAACTTAATGAATCCCTTCCATATTTCTTCAACAGGTGTGACAGATGTGACATACTTCATCAGTCAACTGAAAAATAATCAAGATAAACGAAAGTCATTTCTTGAACAGACTAATTGTGAAGCACAGACTCAAAAGAGCAATTGTATGTTGCCATCTCAGGTCTTGAAGATACACTCCTCATGTGATGTAGAGGACATAGATTCAGTCAAGTCATCTATAAAGTCAAATAAAGTGGATTGTTATGAGACACCTCAAGAGAGATACACTCAGGTGAAAGAATTCTCAGGAGCTCCATCTCCAATTAAGAGGAAATTAGATAATGAATATTCACAGTTATTGCATCCAAAGAAGTTAAAGCAAACCACCATTAAAGGAAATTCTGTTATTGATGCAACAAAAGAGATTTGTTATAAAAATGTTCTCTCTGGGTATCCATTCACTACCTCAAATTGTATGGACTTCTCTAGTGATGAAACTGATATGTCAGACTTTGAAACAGAGCTACATTATTTCGGTACATCAACAACTCTGTTGAATTCAGAATGTCCAAGTCCTATTGTAACATCTCACGAAGGAGATCCTGATGTTGGGAGTTTTTATTCTCCCCCTTCCCCTAGAAGTAAGTCTTTTGCAGATTCTTTAGTTTATGTGCCATCATTAATTGAAAGTGACTCTATGCTGGAACTTTCTCCAGACTCTCCTTTGGCAGTGATGTCTATAACTGGTTGTGTATCAGTTCCAAATATTCAGACTTCTCCTGTGAATTTTGTGCAATCACCATCATTATCCAATTCCATTGCATGTCTTCCACTGTCTCAAGATGATTCTAAGAAGTCGCAACCAACTCAGCCAACTCAAGAGTCTTCAGTTCATTTGCCATCTTTAATTGAAAATGGTTTTACACCAGAAATTTCTCCAGACTCATCCTTAGCAGTGATGGCTGTAACTGGTTCTACATCACTCTCAAATATAGCATCTTCTACTGTAAATGTTGTGCAATCACCGTCAGTATTAAATTCTATTAAACGTCTTCCACTCAGTCAAGATGATTCTGAGAAGTCACAACCAATTCTGCCAGCTAAAGAATCTTGTTCACAAACAAGCAAAATTACCTGCACATTTTTGGAAATCAAAAATATATTCATTGAAATGATTTTAGAGAAGTTGAGGTATTTTAAGTCATTTGGAGTGGCAAAGAAACCTGACAACCCAACTGAAAGAGATTTGCAAATGCCTAATGTGGATATGCCCAAAGAAGAATTAAATGAGAATCTTAAAAATACAAAACTTGAAAAATATCTGCCCGAGTTTGTACCAATTAATAATGGTTTTAGCCGAGGCACCTGGGAGTTGCTGATTGAAGATGAAGCTAGGAGGAACTATAATAGAAAAGTGACGCTAAAGTTGAATTGGAATTCCAAAGGAGGAGAACGTATTAAATGTGTAGACAGGAAAGGTATGACATTAGATGTTCGTAGTATGCAACCTTTTGTTAAATTAAAGCCATTGAAGTCTCTGAAAACACCAATCATACTGAAGACTTGTGGTGAACATCTTAAATCAGGAATAAATGTAAGAAAACCAACATTCAGACCAAAGAGAAATGTACACAACTCAAGATTTCGTCAATTCCGTCCAAGGATAAATATCAGCAGTAAAATAAATTCAAGAGAAAAACGACGAGCTGCAGATGAACCTGTCGTCTGTAATGTTTGTAATTTAGGTTTTACTGAGCAGAAAGATTTAGCAGTGCACGGATTGTCTTGTAATGATATCGAACTTGTGAAGGACGAGTGTTTGGAGACATTTTTTGAAGGTTTAAGCTACTGTTTGCTTGATGACCAGGTTGCAGAAAAAGACAAAGAAGTTATGCCACACTGCTCTGAGTGCTCTGAAACATTTACAGATCATGTTCTACGTGAGATTCACATGTTCATTACCCACAAGTCAAAGAGTTGGTGTTGCAATATTTGTGGTTGTACCTTCCCGTGCAAAGCCACATATCTGCATCACTTGATGGAGCATCAAACACTGCAATGTATGATTTGTAAGAAACTGCTCAACACCACTGAAGAACTCAACACACATTTGAGTCATCATCAGTCATTCAACTTCCAATGCAAGAAATGCAGCAAAGAACTCCCAACTATATTCTTATATCAGCGTCACATGCTAGGCCACTTAATCATTCGACCATTCTCCTGCTCTATGTGTACCAAGCGCTTTAAGTACAAGAGCAACTTAGTTGAACACATGTGGTTACACAAACCTCATAGGTTTAAGTGTGCAGCCTGCCTACAGTCTTTCACTCGACCACATAGGCTTAATGCACACATTAGGAAAGCCCACACTTACTCAGAATTGCATAATAGCTCAGAGAGGGAATGAGAACACAACATTTGTAAGCAATCTATTCATTTTACAGAATTCAGTGAAACATTTAGATAGTTATTAAGTAGGTTTAAGATATATTATTATTATTATTATAAATTAAGTCCAATATCATCATTTAAATCTTATAAAAGTTGCTTAATTTTGAATTTGCCATGGTATTATAACTTAAATATAAACAAAGATCTAATTAGTAATATACTGTATATATTTCTGAGGTGAAATCGGTTTATTTCAACATTTCCACATAAAGAAAAATATATTTTGATGTACTAGATACCGTAATATTAAAATGTGAATCATGAATGAACGATATAAAGTAAGCATAAGAGTTATTGTATTGGTCTTGCTTCTCATTTTGAAGAAACTATTTTTTCCATGTATTTTGTATTAAGGATATACATTAAAAATAGATAAAATAACCTTATAAAAAAAGAATAAAGCTTTGATTGCTCACTGACATTTAACAGAATCACGTTAGTTATCAACTTTTGATAATTCTCATGTCAATGATTTAAAGATGGTTGAAAACTCCTAATTACGCTTCCAGAAATCTTATGCTTGATAAGAATTGTACTGTATTATTTAAATGTTTGTTAAATTTTTTTCTTTTCTAATTCCGAAAGCTTATACGGTAACTAATTTAATACAAAGTAGACTGCAATTCAACATTTTGTTTTAAATTCTCAAGACTATTAGATTTGCGAGACAATATTTTTTATTATAAGCAGATATCTCAACACATTTGAATATGTTATTTTATCTTGTATGGTGGTATGTATAAATATGTTTTTAAATATACATTTATAATTACCGCCATAAGGTGAATTATTGTCGGTTATTATTTATCTTGTGGTATACAATAATGTTTAATTCACTGAATTTGCAATAGCTTTGTTTCATATTATCCGATAAAATTCTTACATTTTATCAAGATTTTCGTCTTCAATTTCATCTATTACAACTCTGCTCCAGCACTTAAATGAACCTCCAGCTCACGTGTAGAGTACAGTATAAATGTTGTCTAGTTGCAGCTATCCTTTTTCTCTTTCTCCATTTTTCAGACAAAATACATATAATTATGAATTAACATATTCAATGCATTGCCAACGTTACGTTCGAACAAACACGATCGGTTTTTTTAAATGTGACTGTCTAGAAAGTCCTATCTAGGCTTTGGAATTTGATTTGGCAAAAAGCTGTGATTTGCCTAAATATGGTATTGATGACATCACAGCATAAACTTTTTTGTCAAAGAAAATTTAATAATCTGGGCAGCGCTTAAGGACACTAACACTTGCCACTTAAATCCACCTTGATTTTGAATACACAATTTAGTTTTCGAGTTTGCTATTTATTCGTAATTTTGTTACACATTACAAGAATGTAATTGTTTTAAAATAATTTCTTATCAAATAAATCTACTTTGATGTGCTATACGTACACGTACGTTGTTTTATTTTTTGTGAATTCTGTGAGTTACTAAATGACGATCCTAACGTGGAGAAATGAGTATTTTATTGTATTCGTGATGAGCGTACGCGCACTGTTTAATCATACAACAATACAACGAATGCAACAAAACAACGAGCGCGGACGTTGCTTTGCTCTATAAGCCACTGGGGTGGAACATAGCTCCCAAGCCCCAATTAACATGTTCTCAGTGGTGGCGCCGTGGGCTCTATTTGTGTACCGTTTGTGTAGGATATTGTATTGTAATGTAATACGGTTTTTTAAATAATATAAAATGTAAAAAGGATTTGAAAATAAGTTAGTTGGTTACATTGCATACTCTGTTTCTCGTTGATTAAATTTTTAAAAATCGGTTTTGGAATTTTGACATAAAAAACATACATGAAGTCATTAAGGTAGCTTGATGCCTATCAAATAACTAATAAAAATTTACCAAAATTCGTCAAATATCCGTAAATGTATGAATAAGCGGTCGGTATAACTTACGAATGTCCAACCTATTTTTTTAAAAATTTATTATAACTAACGACCCACTCGCATAAGGTAAGCTTATAGCTTGGTTTCCATAAAAGTCGCAACACGTTATCGCTAACTCCTTTGGCGACGCTGATTTTTCAGTTGAAATTAGGGAGCGTTCGAAATCACGTCACTTGAACCGCTACGATACAGAGTGCAGTTAAAACGTTGTTTTAGTGACTGTGTAGCGATTCTATGGAAACCATGCTTTATGTCTTAAAGCCCCATTCCCGGCAAAATTTCACTAAAAACTGACTTTTTTTTTAGAAAATATGCATTTGCATTACTCCAATTATTATAAATCATGGAAAAATACTGGCATGAATTTTAGTTTTACGCAAAAGAATAAAAAAAAAGAGAAATACAGACTATTTCTCATAAAATATTACCATTTTCTCGACGAATTCATCGTTACTAGGCAAATTCAGAGGTTGTAGATCGCATCCACTGGAATACTCTCGCTTTTATGTATACTTTATACAGTCAATAAAGTGCGCCCTCTCTAATAAGATTAGTTTTTGTACTTCGCATCTCGCAAAATGCGTTCGTTCGGTTAGGTTGAGATATGTTTGTTTAAATGTCAAAATCTCAGTCAGAATCAGTTCTTTAACAAATTTGAAATAATTCCTATGAAATATTATATTACACAAGTGTCATTATTAGCAACGGAAAATATCATGTCGGCCGTTTTTATGTGTGATAACAGAACCTAAATAGAGGTAAGGCTAGGCATAGCCTAGCAGCGTTGGATAGGCTAATGTTTTCGGCGCCTACGATATTTCTTCTCACGACCTGTCGCAAAATCAAACATGAAAATTCATCCGCATTTATTTTTTGTGTGGAACACAAAAAATCAAATTTCAGTCTTATTTTACATCTTTTTCATTCTTAGGAATGTCTAAATTCAGTTAAACTAGCAATTCCGTATTATATTTATAAATCTTTATAACATTATACAAAAATTAGATTTTTTTTTTAAATTGAAATTTTGCCGGGAATGGGGCTTTAAGCGTACGATTTCCGCTTCCTTGAGCGCTAGATGACGCGATGCCGTCTACTGATAGTTGGCGACTGTCCAAACGGATCTTCATTAAAAACGGTCCGTTGCGGGCGCGTTGTGGCGTTAATCCATAAAATCGCGTCGGGCGCAGTGAGTGCCCGTTTTTTTTTAACCTTTTATGAAATACTGAACCTCGTCATCGACCTTGGACCAAACAAAACAAAACAAAAAAACTGAGTACGTGTTTCGATATGTCATTTTGTAAATGAGTTTCTAACACACATATTTATAATAGAACTGATAAAATTCTGAGTTAACTAACACAGGCCTACAGCTTACAGAGTCACACATCAATCATTCATCACATAGAAACAGTTAAAAAGTATTTGCGATAGTTTGTCAAATCTGTGGTTCAATAAATCAAGATTAAAATGAAAATGTCTACAAACTACTCTTAGATGCAGCTGCAGAGTTCTCAGAACTCTGGAAACTTAAGTTTAATTTAGAAAAATTACATGTATTAATCGTTGGCCAAAGAGTAAATAAGCTGAGAAAATGGAAATTAGGTAATAACCTTATAAGTGAAACAGATAAATACAAATATCTCGGTACAATTATATCAAGAAAAAACAATGATAATGATCATATTGAAGAGGTTATCAAAAAAGGAAATAAAGTAATTGCCTATATCAAGTCAATTATCGATGGCCAAGAAGACTTCAACAGGATATACTATGGCGATTTATTGTGGAAAACAATTGGTCTTCCTACAATAAACTATGCATGTCCTGTTTGGGTCCCGGGCAGTAAACAGTTACCGGTAGTTAACAAACTTGAAAACCTGCAATATCAGATGGCTAAAATGATCCTGAAAGCACTAAGGAATGTTGCCAATGAAGCTTTACTTCAAGCTTTACTTTAAGGTGACTTAAGGTGGCAATCTATGGAAACGATTCAAAACAAATTTAGAATAAAATATTTTGATAGGCTTAAAACTATGGATGAGGATAGATTGCCTAGACTACTATGTAAATCACTTATGGAGGTTAGATCACTTACACGATGGAAATAGATCGATAACATTAAAGCATTATTAGACAAATATGATCTAAATGATATATATAATATGGAACCACAAAATACTCAGTGGATAAAATCATTTAGTAATATGATCTCAGATAACAATAATAAAGAATGGTTTCAAAAAGCAACTAAAAAATCATCACTGAAGGATTACGTTAAATACAAAAATATACCAAATTTAGAATACTACCTTTTGGACAAATTGAATTTTAAAGGTGCACATTTAAAGTTTAAAGCTAGAACTAATGTTCTAGATCTTGAAGGCAGAAAACGGGCATGGTCAGATACGCACTCGGGCCATTGTATTATTTGCAAAAAAAGAGAATTAGAAACGGTCGACCATTTTCTATTTGATTGTGAAGGTCTATCCTCTATAAGAAATGCATGTTTTGAAAATTTGAAAACAGACTTGTGTAAAATTAATTGGTACTTTTGGGACATTTTCTTAGAAGGTTCATGTGAATTTAGGCACCACTTACTTTTAGATAATATTTTTGATGCATACCAGAATATTGAAATTTGCAACATATTTGATAACCATTGTAAAACATATTTAACAAAAGCAATGACTGAAAGAACTGAACTAATGAAAAACATTACCACCAATATTTAATTTTTATGTTATTTTCTGTACTTATAAACTTATATTTTTTGTCATTTTTATTTATTTATTTACTTTATATTCTGTAATTGAATTCTCTATCTTTTTTCTTTTTTTTTTTTTGTACATTAAGTTATTCCTTAATTACTACAGAATAATGAGAGTAACATTTGTTTTGTTTGTCCAGTATTTTTTCTTTACTCATTTATCTTTTCAATAATTCATTTTTATATAGTCAGTTGTTGTTTTGTAACTGTTGTACGGGTCGAACCTCTCCTGCACGAGAGTGTTCCTCTGTTATAATAGAGAGAACCAATAAATCTTATCTTACAAGATCTATGGTAAGATATTAACTCCTGATACTTCTTTGAAAAATAATTAGTTTTATCTATTGGCATACAGTATCTCATCTGATGGGGCCTGATGTAATGTAATCGCGACAGATTCATTTTTTTTTTTTTTTTTATGTAATGTCGGTCATGATTGATGTCTTTTAAAGAGGTAATAAATCGTTACGGTCTAGTGGTTGATCAATTAATTTGTCAAAAACAATAGTATATATGCATGTACTTTCGATCTTAATGTCGTATTCTCTCCAAATATAGGCCTACTAATACCTTGGTAATCGCTTATTTTTGCTCATGGGCCCGGGCCGGTGTGATATTCGGTCGCCTAACGTAGTACCGAATAATAGGCTACCCAAACATTCATCCGTGTGTGATTGTCGACCAGGATGGTACGGATGTAACTAATATAATATAATACCTGTCCCGACCCGATCCTTTTTATGTTAAATGGTGCGGGGAAGTAAACACATGTAAACAAGAACCCATTATTTCTTATAACAAGGTTGATGGAAACTGTAACTGCAAGTAAGGCTGGAGAGGAAGAAAGTGTAGAATCCCATGTTCAAAGTTTAACTATGGAGATGATTGCAGTTTGAATTGTAGTTTCAGGAGCGGACATAATTGTACCAAAAAAATGTTCGGTCTGGACGTATGAAGAAAACTGTAGGCGATTTTATCGTATATACAATAAAAAAAATAATCAATTCAAGTGACGTCATAATCATTGAAAAACAATAAAATGGTGGTAGTAACAATGATTTTATCGTTTTCCATTATTATGACGTCATTTAAATTGATTTGTGAAATTATTTTGTTATCATATACACAATAAATCGTTATCGAATCTTCATAGTGTAAAACTTCTCATATTTCTTTTATGCTATATATGAGCAATTGCTTTTTAGCTTAGTCGTTATCGTATAAACAGGCTTTAACAGTATATGATCGTACACGGTAGTACATTAAATATTCAGTTTTATAGGCCTAATACCCATCGCTCATACTGTATTATTTACATCCGTAGCACAGAAGGTTTGTTCCCGTATTAGTAGGCGCCGCTGTAACCTCAGTAGGCGTATATTTCTTTATGCATACATACATCAGATTCAGGATAGAATACAACAACTGAAGTATTACAAATAAAACATTACGAAAAAAAATTATTCGTAATGCTTCATGATCAGAACTCGCGAATGATTTTCTTTAAATATCATATTCCACTATTTTAAAATACCATATACAGAATAGTGTCTGGTGATACCCCTTTTCCAAAAGAAAAGGAAGACAATGAAGAAGACGAAAAATATTTATATTAACGTCGGTAAAGAAATAAGGAAATAAGGTCTATTTACAGTATTTACATGCAGCGCAAACGTGTTGGCTCGTCTTTGGCACAAAACCTTCATTTTGAACGCAGTAGGCCTACGGTAACACATGATTTTACTGGCTATGCCGTGAGATTCGTTGTACGTTTGTGTGTTGAACATCAGCCATAGTGTAGAAATTAATTAGGTTTGACTCCAAAACTGGGCTCTAGCTGTGTTTAAATTAGAAATTAGACCTACAGACAAAATTTCCAGTTTATTAGAATTTAAGAGTCAGTGTAATTTATTGTTTCAATGCTTGGAATACATATTAACCCAAAAGTATTCTGCTAACACAATTATTTTGTGTTAAGGAACCGACGTTTCGTAGATAATTCACATACTGAAGTGTTCTAGAAGACGAGTCATAAGCAGCGCTACTTAAGTTATTAAACAATCGACGATCAAATGTTAGTTGCGATTGTTATATACTTTAAAAAAAAATTTAAACTTGATTCTACTTGAAAAAAAATCCTCTTTAAAAACATGAAACCTCAGTTAGCAAACGTCAAACCAATCTGTTTACAATACATACAACAATTTGAATATTTCCCCCATCTCATGCGCACTATAATTATAAATAATTATTTCTAAATGTTTATTGTTAAAATTGCTGCAATTAATTTGTTCCAATACAATATCAATTACAGTACCAGTAGACAAGTGTAACATGCTACAGTATAGGCCTACAAATAATGAATATGTATGAGTGCAATGGTAAGAATATTTTCCATGAGTTAAAGGATTGACTGTTCCATTCAACGACGGAGCCGAGTTTAATGGAACAGTCAACCTTTCAAAGAAGTAACATATTCTTCCCATTGCACGAATACAAAATAACCATTATTCAACTTGGTAATCAAAACACTTTCAAACAGTTCCAATTTTGCAACAATATTTGATATTTTATTTAAAAAAAACTTTGTATTAGGAGGCAAAACGAATGGGACAAAACGAATGGAACAAAACTGCACAGATGGTACTAATATTTTAAGAGTTACGGTGTAAATAACCAATGTCACGTGATACGACATCCACCAATCAAATGACAAGGACCCATTTAGGTGTATTATAATATACAAATAATGAATATATGTGAATGCAATGGGATAGAATAGTCCATGAGCTGAAACATTGAATGTTTATAGGCCTACGAATCGCGCGTTCGGGGGCCTACAGTAGTTTTATTTCTCGCGTTGCACTTAAGAATTGTAGTTTGAGAGCTGATAACGTACTTATAAATTATCGTTGACTAGTCACTAAAACACTGAATAGTCATTTAAATTGAATAAAATAATTAGAATATATACAGGTGTTGTATATTAAATATCTTCTTTATCGTTGTTTAGAAAGTACATAAGATGGTTAGGTATAATCTGTTTTGCTTTTCAGATGATGGCAAGCGTTCAGATTATATATTTAACCCAAGAAACGCATCTGCAATGATTCATATGAGCCTGTAAAAACTCCTGCTATCGCCCTCAACGACTAGTCCGTGTTAACAATACCTGCAGACACTTAGATTGGTTGGATGATAGGCAAGATATGGTAGAAAGTTTGAGTTTTTTTCCTTTAAATATGTATGTATCCTTATCCCATATTTTTTCCCCAAATGATATCCACTTTTTCTAAAGAATGTAGGCTAAAATAATGTTCAAAACGATAACAATCTTTATATTTTAATATTGTTATTCTTTAATATAACAATTGGCGGATTCACGTGGGGCGGAGTACAGCTGGAGATGTGTATAAGAGACAGCTCTAACATATACCCAGTTGTACAGAAACCACCTGACATTTACAGACTTAGTAGCCTTCATTTATATCAGAGGGTGATCCTCCTCACAGTAACAAAGTGACTGAGAGATTTTTCGAGGCGTATGATATATTTCATTGAGCATCATTGAAATTTTCCGACTGAGTAACCTATATTTCACATATGTACCGGTTTCTTCTTAAGATATTTCTATTATTTCGATGTGAGTTTGCGTCAGGAAAATATCATAGGTGTGAAGTTTTGCCCTACCTGACGTGTTGTCCTACCGAATACTCAGTACGTTCCAAGATACTTGTGAAAACAAATCGCAAGTGATTCGGGTGGGAATCGAACCCATGACCCCCAGTAACTAGCCTGGAGCTGAGACTACCGACTTGCGATTAGTGACTAGTGTTGAATCCGATCCCCAAGTAACAGCGATAACTGCAAATGCTATTTCGATGCGAGTTTACGTCAGGAAAATATCATAGGTGCGAAATAGCATTTGCAGTAGCCGCTGGGGGATCGGATTCAAGACTAGTTACTTAGTGCAAGCTCGGTAGTCTAGTAATTATGGTATCAGGCTAGTTATATAGAGGTCATGGGTTTGATTGTCACCCGAATCACTTGCGAATTTTTTCACAAGTATTGTGTACGACAGCACGTCAGCAATATCGTTCAAATAGTTGGATAAAAAAAATCAAATGTTCAGTATTAACTACCTGCGTTTGGTACCTAAATATTACTTTAACGATTCTGTTGTCATTTCCAAAAACACACCTAGGCCTATTTTATCTATACTGCTATACATGCCTCGTTTTCGTTTATTTATTTAAACCAAACGTCTTCTTCAACAATTCCATCTTTCAGAAATCAACACATCTTTATAAACCTCTTCCGATTCATTTGTGGTATAATCATACATTTTAGTTCTATTTTGATTATGTGTAGAACAATATTTTCACTTATAAAAATCATCTGACCTTTATTATTGCCATAACTATACACGGATTCCATAGTAATGTAATAGACTATTAGCAAATTATAATACTATTTAGAGATATAATATACATTGAGAGTTTGAACGAACTTTTTGTTTTAGTAAAGCTACTTTACAAAGTTCAACTATACATGAATTCATATTATAAGTTCTAAAGAAAATACATTTTACTTTATCAAAACATCTGTATATATTTGTTACAAAAAAAATTGGTCTAAACTAAACTTGATACCATTCATTAGTTTCAATATTAGTGCATTAGACTTTTATGCTGCATCTGTTAATTATTTTTCATTATTATTGTTTGGGGTGACGGTAGCATGCTCATCTTCTTGTTTTGTCACTCGCGCTTTCATTCAATACACAATGATTTGATAAGAACTTTCAATGTCGTTTTTTAATATGTCACTTAGTCAAACAGCCTTTTTTTTCATAATGCATAAAACGAAGGTTAATACAAGGAAAAGATTTGTATTTTTTTTTTTATCAAATTAATCTACTTTGATGTCCAAGTTTGTTACTTGTGTGTACGCTATTAACATGAAGCACAAGTATACAAAATGTATAACCAAACGCGTTTTGTTTAATCTTGTGTAATTCCTTCATTAATATGTAATAACCTGTAATTGAAATTAGATTATTATCGTGTGTGTATGTGTGCGTTTGCACCTTACATCTACAATTTTCGTTCATTGGAAAAAACAGTACTCTTTGTACAAACATTACAATGAAGTTTTAGATCAATTACCATCGCTCCCAATTTTGGACCATGCCCCTTCCCCCTTTACTACTACCACCCCTACTGCTACCTCCCCTTCCTCTACCTCCTCTTCCCATACCTCTTCTACCATCTCTTGACCTCGCTCCAGAGTAATTTCTAGCCGCATCCTGGCTAGCATGTTCGTTTTCTCTGTCCCTCCCTTGACTACTTCTAGGTCCAGTAACCTGGCCATCCGTACGATTCACATGTGCCTTACATGCATTGCGTTCTGTCCAGTCTATCCATTCTCTCCACAAAGCACTGCTTCTCAAAGTAGTCGAATTCCCAACTACGATCATACCTCTTCGCGCTCGGGTTAACAAAACATTAAAACGACGCTCGTTGTCAAGGAATCCTATATTAAATTCGAATAAGAGGTACTAAGTTAGTATTGACAAGCAAACACCAGTGGCGCAAAAATATGATGTTCATCCTGGCAAGAGAATTTGTCAAAAAGTACATATAAAAACAATATATTAAAAGATTACTATATTTAGCCGGATTATTTTACTTAAATTTGAACGTTAATACATAGGCTTAACTGTTTCTGTTCGCCTTTCTCCTATAAACGACTGACTTTCTGAAATAGAACGCTGGTCCTAATACATATAATGTAATAGGCAAGACCATCATACCACCATACTTTATTACAGTATTTATGGCAGCTAAATCCACGTATAAGATGCAATGACTAGATGTTATGTCATACATACCAACAAGTTTGTCGTCATTCGAGCGAACCGCAGAAAAAATTATGACTTCCCTCTCCTGGCCTTGAAACCCATCTACTGTGCGGACGTCGATTTTTGGTTTTTTAAGCAGCTCTTTTAAGAGACGAACCTAGATGCAATTCGCCAGTCAACAAGCAATATTTTAATATATAATATTATTAGAATTATTGTATACTGTAGGTCAAATATTATATGAGAATAATTTATTCATTTGCATACTCAGTAGGGAGATTTCGAAACCTTACGAAAACGATAACGAATACGTTATTACCATATACGTCATTCGTGCCTACAATATTCTTTACAGTATGGTGTACGAGTTCGATATGATCCTTGATTCATACAAAAGGCAGTGAATCAACTACGTTGTTACAGACATGCTACTGTAGGGGACGGGCTGTCTAACATTTTGATGACGTACTGGTAACCGTATTCGTTATTGTTTTCGTAAGCTTGAAAAAACTCCCTAGTATTTGAATCCGAACATTTTCTAAAGAATGTAGGCTAAAATAATGTTCAAAACGATAACAATCTTTATATTTTAATATTGTTATTCTTTAATATAACAATTGGCGGATTCACGTGGGGCGGAGTACAGCTGGCTTGGGTCCACACAATTTTGGAAAATAAAAAAAATAATAATAATTTGAAACATTAGTCTGAGAGTGCCATTTTCGCCATCTAGAGATGCCATAGACATACAATTTCCTACCTTAGCATGGGGCTTAGGTATGTCTGTAAAATTCCCAATATGAACCCCTGTAATTTTAATTCATTGCTGGATTCGCTCTTGCGAATCAAATCAATGTAGGCATATGAATGATGTGTAGCATACCTGTGCTGTATATGGAGATATAATTCCAATTTCTGTTTCGTTGACATCTTTTGCTTTTAGCAACTGCTCCACTAGTATTTTAATTTCATTGGCTTCTTCTCTATTTAATTTGGACTCACCAGCAGATTTCTCTCTGCTCTATAGAAAGGAAAATGTAACATACATTGCATTAAAATAAAATTGCAATTAGTGATTCAGTACACTATTAATTTAAGTAAGAGTTTAAAAGACTTCTTGACATTTTTAAAGGGCTTTGCCTTTTTAAACTATATAGATTATGATATATAATTATCAAACTATAAAAACTTGGTTGTTATATACATATATATATACATTCATATACATATATATATATATACATTATAGGCATATACACATATATATAAATACATATATATACACATATATAATATATATATATATATAAAATATATATATATATGTAAATAAAAGTTGCTGCATAGACAGATTTGTATATAAAGTAAGAAGTCAAACGAAGTTCTGTATCTGTTTAAAAATAAGATATTTATTGTACTATTACTTTCGACCATAGGTCATCATCAGATATTGATAGGATAGTGGATTCCAATATCCACTATCATATCAGTACCTGATGATGACCTTTGGTCAAAAGTACTAGTACAATAAATAATTAATACAGCAAATCGAAACAATGTACGTAGCTCAGTTGGTGATCACGTGATTGTTACCTTAATCATGGAGGTATCCAAGAAAAGCAGCGGCTTTCCTTTATTATGAGGAAATCCACATGGAAGAGGTCTGTCTTTTGCATCAACCCCATTCAGTAGCTGATTCTCGTAAAACTTTAAAGACGGAAATGCTGCTAGAGTTGGATGCATCCTGTACTGAATGTTCAGAAGATGTGTCGGAAAGGTTTGCCTAAGTCTACGAACAATTAAAAAAAGGTCATGTTATATTTAAAGACACTATGTCAAGCTAAGAAAATTTCTTTAAACAAAAAAATGCTTCCAATAAGCCAATTCGTAGTTCGAACTGCGCATGCGCGTATCCAAGGTAAATCGACTTGTGTTGTGTGTATCATGGTTTTTTATGTCGATTGATACGGGCATGCGCAGTTGAAAAACAATTGTCTTCACTGTATTCTTTATGCCATTGGACGGGGGCAACTGGCTCTCTTGAGTTGTTGTTTTTTGTTTGTTTTTGCTCTAGCTGTCCCTGGCTATTGTTTTTGTATTGTTTGTCTCTAAGATTAATTTTATATTTTTATGGTCGAAAATATTAATTCAGTAAATTAATCTTTTTTTTAAATTTGAGTGAAAAAAAAAAATTCGCTGCCCTATATTCTATGAAGACACACTATTATCATGGACCTATGGTCCATGCTATTATACTTGTAATCCATTTATCATTTTTAATCAATTTAATCAGTAGGCCTACATTTACTTTTGAAATCTGCTTTATATTGAAGGGGTGGATTTAGATAAATAGGCTTTAACACACCCCCTAAAATTTTTCCAGCATCTATGTTTTTACAGTGAAATAATAGAATTGAATGTTGGCCTAAATTAAATTTAAGTCCTCTAAAATTACCAGATATAAGCCACAACAGCATCATGTGGGGATCATCCCATGGTAGGGCTGGGATAGTTGATGTTGATTCAAAACAGTAGCCCCACCCCTCAACGAAAAATTCTGATCCGCCCCTGAGTTGAATCAATAAAAAATAATGGAAGCGCTACCTTTCAAATATAGAGACTTCCAGCTGGTCAGCATTTGAGCTCTTCACTAGCGGAGGTAACTGCTTATCATCCCCGACAAGACATAATCTTTGGCAGCCATATTGTAGAGGCACCATCGCTGCCGGTTCAGTAGCCTGTGATGCCTCATCCAGAAGTACATGAGGAAAGTATTGCTCAGTCATATAGTTCGTACCTGCACCGATACAGGTACTGAATACAATCTAATTGACAACAAATAAGAACGGATGACCATAGTGCAGGCCCGTAGGCAGGGGGTGGGATGCAGAGGGTGCTCTGTCTCTTATACACATCTAGATGTGTATAAGAGACAGATCCAGAAGTACATGAGGAAAGTATTGCTCAGTCATATAGTTCGTACCTGCACCGATACAGGTACTGAATACAATCTAATTGACAACAAATAAGAACGGATGACCATAGTGCAGGCCCGTAGGCAGGGGGTGGGATGCAGAGGGTGCGGATGCACCCCCCCCCCCCATTCCAAAAGGTCCACTTTTTAAAACCTATTATTTTACAAAATCATTCCTAATTATTACAAAATGCTATAGCATGCATTGCATTATATATTTACCAGCACATCCAGCCGTTGAATTTAAATAGGGCCTATGATATGAAATTTGTTGGAAATTTATCTTCTCCGGTGACTGCAGATTGATCTATAATATGAACAATGTTATCTGCAGGCCGGCAGATGTACAGGACATAATAACGTTACTTCTT